TGCTGACAGCAGGCTGCTGTCTTTTCCGAGGACTGCATCTTGCCGGTCATTATTACGTGACAGCGACTAGTCGATGACAGGCATAAAAAGTCCCTATAGAGCGGTGAAGTTGACTAGTGACTAGTGCATACAACCCCTACTGCTCCCCATAATGTTCTGCAGCATAATCAGCACGTTCTCTTTGAACTTGATACCAAATTTTCGCCTCCTCTTCGTCTGCGCACCTGCCTTGGTTAAAGTTACCCTCGCAGTCTATCACTGGCAAATCAAAAGTGAGACAGATGACACAACCACCCCACTGTGGTACTTGCTTGTTACCACATTCCACCCGACAACAATAAAAAAAACGGCCATTATTCACCTCCGCCGACTCCGACACCGGCCAAAATGTGATACGCGGCCGTTAATTGAATACAGGCCAATATTAGAGGATTTACAGTAAGTGTCTTTCCTAAGGACACAATGACACCAACAGACTGAGTGGGGCTCGAAACTGCAAGCTTCTGATTACGGGACGAGCACTTAATTCCTGTGCCACCGTCGCCCCAGTCCTAGTGGAAAATGCCGTACTATGTTCACACTGTGTCATGTTCTGCCCCTGCCTTCCTGACTGTGTCTCTCTCCTGCCCTGATTAGCCCTTATTGTTCTCACCTGCCCCTCGTTAACCTGCCCATGTGTTCCTGATTTCCCTGTGTATTTATACCTCCCTCCTTGTGCCAGTCTTTGTCAGATCATTGTTGTTTGTCGTGTTGTTCCTGCCGTAGCCTGCTATTAAATCCATTTTTATTTCATCCGTGCCTGCTCTTCTGCCTCCTGGAACCCTCCACCACACTTGGTCCACCATCTCCACCCTCACTTCATGACAGAATGATCTGACCAACCTGGACCTGTGGTGAGCTCTGCAACATCTGTTTCTGGAGGATTATTTTTTCTTTTTTTCCCCTTTCAGCTGGGGGAGATTCTGACTCGAGGGTTTTTTCGGCGCATCCTACTTGTTTCCGGGGTGGTCGGACCCATTGAGGGGGTTTCGGCGCATCCTATTTGTTCCCGGGGTGGTCAAACCCATTCTCCTCTTCTGCTGTTCTGCCCCATCCTGTTTTTTCATGGAAGCTGCTTTTCCTGGAGTTTTTGATGGAGGTAAAAACCCCTATGCACGCCAACATTCTCCGGGGTGGTAGGGCTGGTCTTCCTGCTCCATGTCTGCTTCCCTTCACCCAAGCCTCCACCTGTTGGATCCAGTCGAGTCACGGTGTGCACCTGCTCAGGACTGTTGCCGAGTACCTGCTGCCGCTCCTGGTTTCCTCGCGTCGCTCCTGCTGTTTCGTCCCACTTCCTGGTCCACACCTGTGGGGTCTATGCCTGCAGGTTCTTCATGCTGCAGTCTCTGCTGGGTCCCACGCCTGCTGCTGCGGTTCTCTGCTGGGTCCCGCGCATGCTGCTGCGGTTCTCTGCTGGGTCCCGCTCCTGCGGTCTCTGCTGGGTCCCACGCCCGGCTGCTGCAGTGTTCCTGTCCAGTCAAGTCAAGTGGTCAAGTGTTCCTGTCCAGTCAAGTGTTTCCAGTCCTCCTGAGTCACGTGCTCCAAGTCTCCTGTGTTGTGTGGCCTTGTGGGCGTCTGGTATCCGCCCCTTAAGGTGGGGGTACTGTCACGTTCTGCCCCTGCCTTCCTGACTTTGTCTCTCTCCTGCCCTGATTAGCCCTTATTGTTCTCACCTGCCCCTCGTTAACCTGCCCATGTGTTCCTGATTTCCCTGTGTCTTTATACCTCCCTTCTTGTGCCAGTCTTTGTCAGATCATTGTTGTTTGTCGTGTTGTTCCTGCCGTAGCCTGCTATTAAATCCATTTTTATTTCATCCGTGCCTGCTCTTCTGCCTCCTGGAACCCTCCACCACACTTGGTCCACCATCTCCACCCTCACTTCATGACACACTGTAGGTCTTATGGCTCAGTTCCGATATATATATATATATATATATATATATATATATATATATATATATATATATATATATATATATATATATATATATATATATTTTTTTTTTTTTTTTTGTTTTGTTTTTTGAGCAAATCCAATTATTTGTGTGGTTGTTCACATTTTAACTGAAATGCGACAGCAAACTCTCTCCAGTGTGAACACTTCACTTCAGAGTGACCCGGAAGCCATTTTTCTAAACATCCATCAAATGAGATGGATGGTGAGCACAAGCTTGTGATTGGTCAGAATGCCACTTCCTTGTCAACAGCACCGACATTACCCCCTCAAAAAATAAAGAGAGATCAATCTAGCAGTAGACGCAAAGCAGCTTGAAGAATATCTTGTGAAAAAAATTATGAAAATATGAATGTTCATTCACCCAAGACTGAAAGAGTAAAGATGCACACCAATGTTTTATTTGTAGACAGAAATGACAGGGAACTTGGTTTTAGAGGTGCTGAGCACATGAAGAGGTGGAGGAGAATGAGGGAAAATTTTGTTCATGTTTAAAACTCTCTGAAAAACAAAAAGACAATATAAATATGGTAGTAATAGTAAATGCACTTTAACTGGACACACAACGGGATACCACAGAAAAGTCCTAAGCCCTCTGTTGTCCTGGAGGGAAATTGCTTTGCAACAATGCTTAATGCCTCCGTTAATGCATGTGCACCCCTCCCTCACGGAGTTGACGGAAAAGCATTAATTAGGCTTAAGTGCATTTTTTTTGTCTTGGTGCTGACTGTTTTCTGACAATTGTAACAACAAAATGTGGATTACTAGAACATGGTCTGACTTCAGGGGTAGAAATCCCTTTTCACTTTTAGGGGAGACGGGTAACAGTAAAATTTCAGAGTCCTTTTTGGGTGGGGCATGACAAAAAATGTTTGTCTCCTGCTATTTTGCAACTAGCAGGGTGGGCCTCCATCATGAGCAAGTTCACTAATGGGCCATTCCCATCTGTACCGGGTCGGCCCGGGCCGGGTAGCCCCAGTCGGCCCCAGCCTGGCCCGGTTGATTCCACACATCCTTGTCTTAAGCCCATGTGGGCTGATTCTACCCACCAATCAGAGGCTTGCTCTAATGGAAGGTGTGAATTTGCTGTCAGCAGTGTGTTGGCCCTGGTCGGCCTGAAGCAGACCCCCTCGAGAAGAGGGCTGAGAATGAGCCTTGGTTGTCCCGGAAAAATACCAGGCCACCCAGATATGTAAGCAACCTACGCTACCCGGCCTGGGCCGACCCGGTACAGATGGGAATGGCCCATATGAAACCAACCAATCAGAGACGAGATGTCCAAATATCAGGAAATAATCGTGTAAGACTCCAAATCCAACTAACTTCTGGTTCCTGAAACAGGAGCACTACAGCTTTTCCCCTCAGAGATCCACTCACTAGAGACCACTGCAGATGTGTTGAAAATACAAATGAACTTGTTTTTTCCATACATAATGTTGGAATGTGCCGCCTAAAGGTAAAGCACCCTCTGTAACTCTTTCACAATAAAGAAAGAGACCACCATTTCAAAAATAAAATACCAAAATAAAAGTTTACTAAGTCACAAGATGTAGAAGTTATTAAAAAATCCACACATGTTCCATTTAAAAACACTATTAAACATGGAAACAATCCTGGGGTGACTAAGTTATGTGAAGTAAAGGCTTTTGATTTATTATCTATAGTCTGTGTTGCTGCTGATCACAGCTGGTTGCTTAGTGACAAACATGATTAACCGCACTGCATCAGTGTCACAACCTGGTGAAACCTCAAAAACCAGGATGGACATTGGTCATAATGACTATCTGAAACTAACTAGTGTGGTTTCAGCGCTGATGTAGATGTTTCAAAACCAAAACATTTGGGACACTTATTCTTTTAAATGATTCTAAAAAGTTAGCTTTAATCTGCTGCTCATCTGAAATGTTAAATATATTTATGGTAGATGTCAGGAGAACATATCCATTCTAATAAATGTTAAAACAGCTGTCTGTTAGGTTTTAAAGGATTTGAGATTTCTTAAACTTAGTTCCCTAAACATTGCTGTTAGCCAATCAGAAGTGCGATGTCCAAATATCAGGAAATAAGATTCCAAATCCTGCTGTGTTCAGCTCTATTCTGCTGTGGCTCACTTCTACTTCCTGAAACAGGTACACCTGAGCATTTTTCCCCCAGAGTACCACTTATACAGTATTCATTCCTACTAGAGACCACTGCAATTGTATTAAAAATACGAGGAAATGTAATCTTTAAAAACTGGTTTGGATTAATCAGAACTTGTGTGAGATTTTTATTCAGACTTGTATAACTTTCTGAGCAACACTTGTAATGATTAGAGATAAACACACCAATTACATAAAGTACTCAGTGTTGGTAACAATAAAAAGGGCCAATTTCCTCATCTTTATCAACATATTTTTGGTTTGTCGGACAACATAATGCATCATTTGTGATTTTTTAGTGGAAGTGCGTGTTTAAACTACTACAAACTTTAAATCTCCACACTTCTCCAAACTGCCTCTCAAAGATTTAAACGTTTCTATAAACAAAGAATTTCTCCTCAGAGCAGCAGTTTGTTTTTTCTTCTCCCTCTTGAGACTTGTGCTCTTTAAATCCTGCTGAAAAATTACAGTATTCAGACAAACAATGCCAGCACAGACATAATTTATTCTGCTTCCTAACCTTCTGTGTAAAGTTCCTCTCACTTCTAGCTGCTCATTTCCAGCAACACTCCAGAGGTTAATTCATGACTATTAGAACTTGAACTTTATGGATTTGAAGAGTTGATGTGTGTATGTGTTTGGACTCCATTAGCTTTTGGATATACATATATTGTGTGACATTTAGGTCCAACAACTGCATCAGATATTAAATGTTGTTTATTACACTTCCATTAAGGCACTATATTTCATTTTCAGGCTGCTGGGCAAAACCTCTATAAAAGTGGCAGTTTTCCAAACATAGACGGGACTCTTTGTCTGGTAGTGAAAAATCTAAGTTTTTCATGTTTGTTTTGTTTCTTTTTCTAGGGTACCCCAGCAGGTCTGGTACGATACAAGGTGGACCAGGACAATCATCCATACTCAACCAGTATATTTGATGTAGCTGATGAGTCGGGGCAGGTGGTTACCAAAGTTAACCTCAATGAGGAACCCAACCTAAAGTTCAGAGTAAGTATGAGGCCAGGTGTTTTTCTGTATTTCTTTTATGTGGTGCAATTGAGGCCCTGTCCACACGTAGCCGGGGATCTGCCAAAACGTAGATATTTTTTTATGTTTTGGCCTGTCATCCACACGAAAACGGAGTTTTTTTCACACGAAAATGGATCTTTTTAAAAACTTCGGCCAAAGTGAAGATCTGCGTTTTCTCCGTTTTGGGTGTCTGCGTGTGGACGGACAAAACCGGAGTTTTAAGGTCCGCAACGTCACTTTCCGCGACAAAAAAATGCTGACATCACGTGTGCGACCTGTGTTTACACTAGCCGGCATCATGGAAGCCCTCAGAGCTGCGCTCTGTCACTACCCGATCCATCAATTGTCCAAGCGCTTTTTGCTTGTTTGTTTTTGCAAGCGGAATTACTGCTCCTTGCGGAAGACCACAGACGAAGGATGAGGTTAAGAACGGGGGAAGTACTGCCGCCTACAGGTCTGGCATGTCCTTAACAACGTATTTATCCGGGTACGTGTGGACAGAGTTTGTTTTTAAAACTCGGTGGTGTGGATGCAAGTTTTTGGAGGGGCGGATATTCGTTTTTTTTTTTTTTTAAATGGCTACGTGTGGACTAGGCCTCAGTCTCCAGCTACGGGGCAGCATCCGCCTTTATTCCGACAGGACAAGGAGCGCTTGCGTCTGGCCTGAGGTTTTCAATTAAATTTGGTCTTAAATATATGCAAATGTCATCTGGCTTTTAATATCACAATATATGATACATCTCCCATCTATAAATATGTTTGTAGCAAGATTCCAGGTAGTCCAGAACTTGGCTGCCATACTGCTGACTGGTACCAGGCAGACAGAACATAAAATGTTGGTCTTAGCAAACTGGAACCGGCTTCCAGTCCCTTATCAAATTAGGTTTAAAATCATCCTATTCATTTTGAAGTTAAGTGGCGCAGCTCCCCGATCTTATTCACACCACACCCTACCACGCCCCCCGTGTTTGGTGGTTCCGAAACACAGGCTGAAATCTCAAAGGAGTCGTTCCTTCTCAATCCTAACCCTGAGATATTGGAATGACCTACCAACTCACGTGTAACAGTATCGATATCTCGACAGTTTTAAAAGTGTGGTTTACTTGTTTGTTCAATACTTTGCAGTGTTCTTTAGTGTAAATCAATGCTTATGAGTCATTTAAAACAAAAACAAAACAAAAAAAATGCTAGGATGCTCCTGTTCTGAGATGCAAAAATTTGCTGGTGCAGAAGTTAGCTGAAAACAGCTGAATTGCTCATTATTAATAATGATGTGCACACACCTCACTTATGATTGGCTAACAGAGCGCATTCAGCAATGTTACCAAGATACTCTCTGCTCTCTCCTCGCTGCAAAAAAATTAAAAGCCAAAATAGGCACAGTCGTGAATGCAAATTCACAGTGTGACAGAGATATGTGAGGATTTTCTAATTAGAAGATAATGCAGAAGATAGGTGTAAAAGACCGTTTTCGTGTTCAACCAGTTATGAAAAACTCAAAGTGGCCGATTACAATCACAAATAATAATAATTAAAAAAAGTTTTTTCAGTCAGCCACACCTTTAATCTCCTTGACCTTCAGTCATAATGGACAGTGATAGTAGAGTTCTCTTTATTGAGTCTGTCCTAATTTGTTCAAACTGTGGGTACCTTGCTTGATTTTTAAATATTTTTAAATGTGTTTGATACAGCTTGTTTTATTTCTGTGTTTTAACATGTTTAACACGTGCACCTATGTGCTATTATTAGGGATGCACCAATACTGATACTGGTATTGGGCACTGGTAAAAGTTAACCAATACCAGGAACCGACAATAAAAAGTGGCTTCAGCGTAACTTATCATTTCTGTTCACCTAATATTTTAGTTTTATGATCGTTTCTATTAATATATTTTCTTTTTTATCTACCTCACAGTATTTTCCTGTTGAAAGCAGAAAATAAAATAAAATCTGTATTTCAATTCATTGCATTTTTGTGTTGTAGAAGTATCGTTTCTGTAATTGGTATGGGCGAGTACTCACATCCAGGTATTTGTATCGTATCGGTTTTGAAAAAGTGGTGTCATTGCATCCCTAGCTATTATGATGGTGCACAGCCTTGTTCGACCTTTTGGCCGTGTTCAAGCGCTATACAAATAAAGCTGAACTGAGTGCAGACCAGCAATTCAAATAATCGGAGCCAACATGGCGAGTTGAAAATACCTAAAAATAAAATGTAGCCATATAAGAAATAGATTAAGATCTATATTATATTAAAGCCCACCACCTTGCCAGAGTTTTGAACAGATAATCTCTGATTGTTTAATTTAAATCAGTCTATGGCTTTGTAGAAATTTCAATAACACACATCGGTCTTTGTCCTGGACGTAGAACTGTGGACCACTTCTTTACCCCGTGCTTGTGGGGGCATGGGGGTTTGCCCAACCAGTCCACGTGTAATTTGAAGAAGGCTTATGAAAACCTGTGGACGGTGCTCAAGAAGTATGGAGAGAAAAGCCTTTTGTTAAGTTTGATTCATTCTTTATACCTAAGGAGTGAGTCTGCTCCATGCAGCCGGCAGTGAGTCGAGCCTGAAACTGCTGCAGGCCATGCTTCTCAACTGGAAAGTGTGGAATGCCAACTCCAGGATAGAGGAGAGGACTTACCTGAAATGTTCTAAAAAGGAGAAAACAGTGGTGCAATCTGCTGAGACTGCCAAATGCACAAGCAACGACCCCTATTTTAATCTAATGGCCTGATGGCTGGAAGTAAAAAGCACAGCTTTCAGATGTAAATGAGCTCACAACACAGAACTGGACCACTCATAAACAAAACATTAATGATAGCAAATGAGGAGCCATTTGGAAGTCTGAACAATTGGCTATTCTGGGTGAGCTGGATGGAAATGTTTTGTTAGCAACTAACACTCAACCACAGAAACAGGCTAAAACATTATCACTTGTTTTTCACCTTTTAGTAGTGGGCAAATATAAAGGAATCTAAACTGGATCTCAGAGGTCCGATGGAGATCAGGGAACCCATAAGACCAGAGATAGAATGGCTACACCAAGGAGTTGTATAGGGCGAGTGATTATTGGTTAAGAATCAGATGAGCAGTGGATCAAGGCGAGGAAAAGATGACAATGAAGTAATAGACAAACACACTGAACAAAGATTCACAACAAATAAATAACTCAAACAAATAACTGAAAACCTCTCACAAACTACCGAATCAGCCAGCGGGGGCTTTCTGCATGCACCCTTCATTATCATTCTGGATACTGAGAAAACATCTCCCCTGATTAGGGCTGCAACAACGAATCGATAAAATCAATAAAATTCGATGAAGAAATGCGTTGGCAACCCTTTTTGTCGTCGATTTGTTGTGTTGTGCAACTTTTTTTGTGTTGTGTAATCTTTAAGTAACAGTCTTATCTGATGCGGCAGCAGAGCAGACAGTCAGATCAGGACGAGGGACACATATATGTCGCATGTGTAATTAAGTAAGGAAGATGCCTTTTACTGGCACACTGTGCGAGGTGTTATGGAGAAAAACGGAGAAACCAGCAGACACAACGGCAGAAACCGTCCAAAGTTTGGTATCAAAAGTGTAGCCACAAGCAGATTAGCTCATGCTAGCAGGTAGCAGGCTCACGATCAAGTGGGCTCCGAAAAAACACGATGGTTATGAAACTAAGAATACCTGAATTCGACAACCAGAAGAAAAGTTCCCAACATCATCCTGTACATTAGCTGTCTGCAGCGCCACGGAGCTGCTGTAGTCAGGTTGCTGCTTCGAGCCTGCTGCCCCACACCGCTGAAGGTGTATGGCAAGTCACTGTAGGATTGAATTCACAAACACGTCTATCTGTGAACATAATTTAAACTGGATTATTGTTAACCTGTACATTATAGATATGTCACTATTACGTTTTAAGCAGTAGAAATGAAATGTTATTAGTATTTCTAGTAGTTTACTACTGAACATGTTAATCAAATACATAACATTTTACCGATCATAGTTTGATTATCGATATATTTAGATGATAGCATGTTGTTTTGCACGCTGTTGAACAGTTTTCTAATCATGTTCTGTTGTTAAATTAAAGGAAGGAGAGAAACAATGTTTCCCTAGCAAAGTTAAAATTTTCTTGTCTAATCCGATTAATCGATGATCCAAATAGTCATTTGTTGCAGCCCTACTTCTGACTGAAGCCGTCTCTTTTTCTCTGTTTCTCTCTAAGGAGTGTGCGCACACGTGCACACACACACACACACACACACACACACATTGCTGCGAGGCTTGAGCTGCGCCTTGGGGGGACAGACACAGCAAAGCAGGACGCCATATCAGAGTCAGAGTCTCCCTTAAATTAAACGCAGGAAGTTGCTTTTGGAGACATCGCACACTTTTCTGCATATCCTTTGTCCTGCCCACGTGCTCAGAGATGTACTCATGACATCACTGACACCTTTGTACCACTTTTGGAGACCGCCCATAAGCTCAGTCGAGTCTGCATTCCTAAAGCTGTGTGTAATCACCCCAACCAGGCTGGGGCTGACTGCGTGGAGTGGAGCAAGCGTTAGAGTGGAAGGGGCTCTAGTTTGCCTCAATGTGGTCCTGTGATTGACAGATGACCTGTCCAGGTTGGAACTCACCTCCTGTGTAATGACCAGCTCTAGGGCTGCACGATATTAGGAAAACATGCGATACTCGACAACAGTGCTTAATATTGCGATATCGATATTACTCACGATAAATTAACAAATACTAAAGTATGCAGTGTTGATGTCGTCTGGCATGTGATGGCTACTCTGGGTTCAAAGCAAACAAAACTAATGCATGAATTCCATTACAACATACCATTTTTATTGCAAAAATATGCACATCATGTTATCGCGATGACGATAATTTTTCGATATATTGTGCAGCCCTAACCAGCTCCCTTTAAACCTGCTAAGAAACAAGCAGGTATAGCAAAAAGATGCAGCTGTAGTGCTGCTTTTATTTTCAGCGGAACTCCTGTTTTTAGAACAGTTTTTACTTGAGATCCACAATAAGTTAACTTGTGCTTCGTTTATAATGGATCACACAGCCATAGTGATTTATTTACTGGACAAACACTAATGTACTTCTTAAATTTCACCATGCGGTTGAGAATCCTTTTAATAAAATGTGGAGCATATGAAATCGATCCTGTACACCTGAGGCCGTTTTTGTGATTCAGACATTATTATTGGACAGTATTTATCTCACATGTCTCTGTTTAGCTTTGCACTTAGATTCTATATACATTTTTAAATTTACTGGGTCATTTAACATCATTTGATGAGCACAAACAGATTTCACCTGCATACACAGGATTTGTGTGTAATAGAGTTTTTTTTCCTCAGAGCAAGTGTCTAAATCCCTGTTCGCTGTGCAGAGCACACTGTAGCAGCTTATTAGTTTGAAAATGGTTTGTCCTCAGCTGCACGCCTCCATGGGCCTTTGAGCTGTGCTAATTTCATCTTTTGATTGGGCTTTAATTAACACAACAAGGACTTCAGCCTCTTGTGAAGATGATTCTCTGGGGACTAATTTTACCTTGTTTGCTCCAAATAAGTCAAACAAAATGTGTCTAACTGTACGCATTTTTGGCTAATGTCTGAAACAAACAATGGATAAAGAGTAGTTGGTCAGGAAAAAAGGGCCGACCAAGCTTCTTAACCTCCTTCTGATCCCACAAGGAGAAATTCTCAGATCATTATTTATTTAGGAGTTTCTGGATTGCCATAGTTCAATAAAAATGCCAAAGGGAGTGTGATATTTCCAACACTTTAGTGTTTAATAAGATACTATATTTCATTGTGTTTGTATTTAGGGTTAACTCATTAGGATTCCTTTGGGTCTAGTTAACAACTGTTATCACCAATAAATTGATGTCTAAGCTTATAGAAAAAATCTAATCAAACATATAACAGTATACTGACTAGCCGTCATGCAATTATTATGCTTTTTGTTTATTTTATGGATTTCGGTTCAATCTTATTTTCTTGCTTTACTCAGATTTTATCACAATTTTTGTGATGTCAGAGTGTGAACATGACCATCAGCAATAACATTACATGGATGTGATTTACTCTGATGATCATCTCTGTGTTCTGACAGCTGGTGGTGGTGGCCTATGATCACGGTGAGCCTGTGAAGGAGAACACAACCCTGGTTGAAATCACAGTTCTGCAGCCGTCAGTTATTCCAGTGTTCACCCAGGAGGAGTACAGGTGTGCAAGCATCACGCACATGCGCACGCACGCACGCACACGCACACACATGCATGCATGTACTCACACACATATGCACTCACACACACATAAGCACATGCATGCAAAACACACCCACACAGATACGCAAGCATACACACACACACACGCACGCACACAAACACTCAGAAACACACAAACATACACACACACGTACACAAACATGCAGAAACACACAAACATACACAAACACAAACATACACACACACACACACACACACACACACACACACACACACACACACACACACTCCAATCCCTTCTTTGACCACTCCAGTGTGTGTGTTATTAAAACAACAGATATTTTCAGTTGGTCATCTGATCTGTTACAAAGTAAAAGTGAAGTAGAAATGACAATAAATCAATTCATTCATTCATTCATTCATTCATTCATTCAAGTCCATCTTTAAACTCTTACCGTAAACACTTGAGGGACATCCCTACCTTCTTGTTAGCAGTGATCATCCAGCTCTCACACTCGCTGTCTCTAAAATTATTTGAAGTCTAAATTAGCCTGAAAATGTGGAATAAATCAGAGAACAATGGTGCATAATTATCGCCTTTAAAAACAAACGCTCTGGAAAAATGCCTCTTTTTTTATCTGTTTTAAGAACAAAACAATCATACAATACTCCATCCAGGTTTTGTTTTCCACTGACAACTATCTCTACAATTACATTTCACAGACACAGCAACCATTAATTTATGACACTCTTGGCTCAAATGGAAACACAAATACAAATCCCTCCTCAAGTGTGTCCATGGGGTAACGCAAGGTCAGGCTGGATGCATCAGATCTAAAATTGGTCTGTAATCTTTAGCTATTATGTCTTTTTCACAGTCTCAATCTGATATGGTTTTTATTATTCACAAAATATGTATTTGTTTTCTTTTTTTTATATCAGCCACTCTGTAAGTGTGTTTGTTGAAAGTAGTGATGGTAGGATGAGAGAGCTGGTCCTTTTCTGTTTGTCGTTTTGTTGTCTGATTGAACATAGTTCTAAGGCCCTGTCCACACGTAGCCGGGGATCTGCCAAAACGTAGATATTTTTCTACGTTTTGGCCTGTCATCCACACGAAAACGGAGTTTTTTCACACGAAAACGGATCTTTTTAAAAACTCCGGCCAAAGTGAAGATCTGCGTTTTCTCCGTTTTGGGTGTCTGCGTGTGGACGGACAAAATCGGAGTTTTAAGGTCCGCAACGTCACTTTCCGTGACAAAAAATGCTGACAACACGTGTGCGACCTGTGTTTACACTAGCCGACAGCATAGATGCCCTCAGAGCTGCACTCGCTTTATCAATTGTCCAAGCGCTTTCTGCTTGTTTGTTTTTGCAAGCGGAATTACTGCTCCTTGCGGAAGACCACAGACGAAGGACGAGGTTAAGAACGGGGGAAGTACTGCCGCCTACAGGTCTGGCATGCCCTTAACAACGTATTTATCCGGGTAGTGTGGACAGAGTTTTGTTTTAAAATGCGGTGGTGTGGATGCAAGTTTTTGGAGGGGCGGATATTCGTTTTCAAAAAAACCCCGGCTACGTGTGGACTAGGCCTAAGAATGAGGGTTGTAATCAGAATTCATCCCTCCATCATCCCATCTACTCGCTCAGACTTCTTGGTCTTTCTGAATCACAAATGCCAAATACATCAAACATGTTTGTTTGTCTTTAAACGTTTCATGAATGTGTCACGAGTTGGGCAGGAGGAAGTTTAGGACCCAAGATGCAGAAACCAGATGAATGAGGCAGAGGTGGAAGATGAAATAAAAATCCTTAATTTAGGAGTTATCCAAGAAGGCAGGGAGCCATAAACCAAAAAATCCAAATGACTAAAACTAGAGATCCAAAAACACTAGAGACACTAGAAGCTAGAGAGCAAACGAGACGAGAATGACACGAAAAATGAACCAACAAAACACTGAAACACAGACAGGGTTTTACACACTGGGGAGGATGAAAGGGAGATGAGCTGCAGGTGTGTGGGGAGCGAAACCAAGTGAACTAAATTACTAATCAGGGAGAGGGCAGTGAGTTGAAGAGAAAGAAAAATAACATGACCTAAGATTAAAAACCTAAAAAAAAAAAGAGCAAAATAACTAACTAATTGTCTGGGGAAGGAGAACTAAAGAACCGATGGGGGGAAAGAAAACACACTAAAAGAGACTAATCAATGAACAGCTGAAACTAAAGGAAAAACACTACAGAAAGAAAACCTACAGGGGCGTGACTAAGGGGGACCAAGGGAGCACAGGACCAGGGGGATACCTGGTGAGGGAAACCTAGAGGGCTGCAGATCTGGGGACAAATGAGGAACACCAGGAGACACATGAGGAAGACGCAGACAAGGGCACATGAGGGCGCTAGGAGACATAAAAGGAGAACCTAGAGAGGGATGGAGAACACAAGGAGACACATGAGGGGAGACGCAGACCATGACAGAATGAGCACGTTGTGTCAGGACAGACACAATTTCTGACCCTTGCAGATCAAAACTCAATAGCTCTTGTCTACAGAGTGGAGTTAAGCGCCTTTATTAGTGTTTTATGGAAAAACCTTCAGAAGAACAAAAAAGACTTGAAAGAGAGCCAAGTCATAATGGATTTCTAAATATGTAACATAGTGTTGAGCTACAGAATGTCGTGGGTATGTTTGTGCGTTATTGATCATTGTATTATTCATCACACACAAACATTTCTGTGAGTCATGGCTCAGGGTTTGTGTGTTTGACTCTGTCTTTGGATGAGAGTCTTTGATTTTTATCCTGTCATCTCTTTTCTAATCCATACATGTGTTAGCATTTAAGTTTTTTTTTTTTTCATTGACGGTCTTCAAAATCCAAGTTATGTGCACAAAGAAAACATTCCAGCTTTGAATTATTCATCCCGGTTGTATCTGATAGCTGCAAACCTCTTTGTGAAGTGTGGGAGTTTACAAGTACAGTTAGATTATTTTATTTTTGTTTTAGCACACAGACTTTGAGTCGATATCTACATAGATTCATGCCTTGGAAAAGGGAATGCTTTAAAAGCAGGTTTTTGCATATAAATGTAGAATTTCACCCCAGCATTAGGCTGTTTTTTTTTTAGCTTGTTTTATTTATGAGATAATCTGTATAACTTTACACCCTGAAACTGCATTTCTTTGTGTCATGAGCCGGGGTGAGTACTCGTCTCATCATCTCACTATCTCTGAGTGTTTTGGTTTCAGGAGAGGGAGCAACAGCTGTTTCCAATCAGCTGATCAGTGGGCCGGTTTATAAGGAGGAAGGTGGACATGACTCAACGCCGGATGATTAACTACTGACTGGCACTCTCTAGCCCTCGCTTATCTCTGCTCTTGTTCTCTCGTGTTTTTCTCTCGTGACTTGGATTAATTCTATTTTTGGATTTTACCCCACCTCAGGTCTGGATAATCATCAGAGTTTTCCCCGACGCCGTTTTTGGATTTTTATCTGGTTCGTTTCCTGGTTCACCCTCCTCCAAGTGCCGACCCAATCTCCTCCACCTCTCGCTCCCTCTCCAGAACCACACCGGTCCAGATCCCATTCCTCATTCACCTCTACCGCTCTACAATCATTACCTGGACTTATCCCGGCTCACCCCTCCCACACGCTTCTCGTCTATCTAAGCCGTAAGTCCCTCAGCCAGCAATTCCCCAGCCATTCTACAACTCCCATACTCACCTCTGCTACTTTTCCCTCTAGACGCTGCTTCCCGTTTCTGCACCCGCTGGATTTTGCAGTGCGCCCTTAGTTCAGCGTTTCGTCAATAAATATTATTATTTTTTATACAGTCTGACTCTGAGTCTGATTCTGCATGTCCTGGGTTAGACTCTTGCCCCACAACATGACAGAATCATCCGGCCAAAACGCTAACCCCGCAGAATCAGTTCCCTCTAACATCTCTCATCGCTTATCTCAGCAGGAACAAACTCTCCCTTTACTTATGGAACAACTTACGGCAGCTAACCAATGTTATCAGCAATTGGAAAATATTGTTCATCAAATTCAAGAAGCCCTGTGCCACACACACCAGCCACCCCCTTCAGCGGAACCTTCAGCAGTAGGTCAGGTTGTCGCCGGAAGTCCTGGACCGGAAAGAGCAAGGTCCTGGAACGAGACCCACTTCCGTGTTGCTCCATCCCCACCATCAGTCACCTTCGATGGTGAGTTTGAGGAATGCCACAGTTTTTTACTACAGTGCCAAATAGTGTTCCAACATTGCCCTACAGCCTTTTCCTCAGACTCGGCTAAGATCTCCTACATCGTGGGGCTGTTGAGAGGAAGAGCCCTACGTTGGGCAGAGGCCAAAAGCCATAATGACTCTTTTTTGAATGGTATTTTCTGTGATTTTTTGTCAGATTTTAAATTGACTTTTGGGAGCTTTGAGTCTGTTTCTGACATTCGAAAGAAATTATGGAATCCATCTCAAGGCAGGAGATCGGTGGCAGACTTGGCTGTGGAATTCAGGATCCTTGCAGCTCGCACCTCTTGGAATGAGGACGCCCTCATCGGAGCATTTACTGAGGCCCTAAGCGATGGAGTTCGAAACCAGCTGGCTTTATGCCAGGAACCCACTTCTCTGGAGGAGCTTATACGGCTGGCTATTTCCATCAACAAACGGCACCGTGAGCTGAGAAGACGTGAGTCGGAGCCCATGGTCTACTCCTCGCATGAGAGAGTGTATGGAGCTAAAGGACGTGTACAAATGGACTCCCTCTCTGCAGAGGAGCCTATGCAGATGGGGAGAACTCGTCTCTCTCAGGAAGAGAGAGAGCATCGGATCAGGTCAGGAATGTGTTTGTACTGTGGGATGGCTGGACATTTTCAAAGCACTTGCCCCACTCTGTCAAAAGGGGGAGCCCACCAGTAAAACCGTGACTACTGGTGGGTGGGTTTTCAGACTCTGCTAGCTCTCGGTGTTCTTTTCCATGTATTTTGATAATTGAGTCTAGACAGATATC